ACCTCTTTCTTGGGACAAGAATTGTAAAACAAGGATGTGTGACTGAACTGTTTGCACTGCTTGCACAGCTGTGCTGGGCAGGACAATCCATTGCCAGCTCTCCCAAGTAGTCTTCTAAGTGCAGGAAGGTTTGCTTACTTTAGGCCTCATGTCAAGCAGACTGTAAAAGTCCTTTTAGGGTTGATGCTATGCTGTTAGCCTGCTCTGATCCTGTTCTTCATTTGCTCATGGGTATATTCTGTCACTTAAAACTGGCCTTGCATTAGCTTCCAGTCTAAGTACAGAAAGCCACACCAGACCCCTCATAAAGAACACAGCCTGCCTTTATCAAACATTATCACAGCAGAGCTTATTATCCTCCATGTATCCTCCATGTAATTTTTTATTGTGGGTGTTTTATTTTGTGTGTACTTATTTTGAACCTGAAACTCCAATTCTTGAAGAGAAAACATGATTTTTGTATAACTCATGGAACAAAGCTTTGCATCAAATACATACAAAGCTGTTCGAAGATCTGGAACCAGGACACTACACAGAAGTCTAACTCACCAAATTAAAAAAAACCCACTGGGATAATTTTTATTCTATTCCTGCAGTGTGATAATGTGGAAAAAAAAAGATCACTAACAAAAGTGCAGCTTCTTCCTGGATATGTTTGTAGGTCCTAAAATTCAGGCCATATGAGATGAGTTGGATTTGTGATACAGGTCTAGACACTTCTGTAATTCATGTATCATTGACCAGACTAAAGGAATGGGAATCATGGTTATTTAGCAGAGAGTCTTGAAGGACATTTGAAAGGCAGATTTCACTGAGTTAAATACACTGACCAACTCTCACATGCAGCAATTGAAGACCAGTGTGGTGGGAGTAGAACTAAACCCTTGTGGACATAAGGTGGCCCCGAATAATAATAAAAAAAAAAGATAAAGTGTGAAAATAGTGGCATAAATCTGAGGTGCACTATAAACAATGTTATAAAGCAGCTTATTAAGTGAAGACACACAGGTTTGAAGAATCATGAAGTATCTCAGATTGGAAGGTAACTATGAAGATCATTGAGTTCGGGTCTCTGATCCTTCCTTGCAAGACTACCTACAAATAAGAGCATGTGACTAAGAGCATTGTCCAGATACATACTGAACTCTGACACACTGGGTGCTGTGACCACTTCCCTGGGGAGCCTGTTTCAGGGTGTGACTGATCACTCTCTGGATGAAGAACCTTTACTCAGTGTCCAATCTGAGCTTCCCTTGATGCAACTTCATTCCATTTCCTTGTGGCCCATCACAGGTCACCAGAGAGAGAAGAGCAACACCTCCCACTCCACTGCACCCACTGAGAATGTCATGAGCTGAGATGAGGTCACCCCCCAGCCTTCTCTTCTTGTCCTCAAGGCCTTTCACCATCTTTGTCACTCTCCTCTGTACACGCTCTTATAGTGTGATGTCCTTCTTACATTAGGGTGCCCAAAGCTGCACAGGACTTGAGGTGAGGCCACATCAGTGCAGAGTAGAGTGGGAAAATCATAGAATTAAAGAATACTTTGGATTTCAAGGGACATTAAAGATGTCCCCTGCCTTTGGCAGGGTAAATCACCTCCCTCAGCCAGCTGGTGATGCTGAACCTGATGCATCCCAGTATGTGGTTGGTCCTTTTGGCTACCAGGACACAATGTTGACTCATATTCAACTTACCATTGACCCAAAACCACAGATCTCTTTATGCAGGGCTGTTTTTAACCTTTCATCCCCCAGTCTCTACTTGCAATGATGATCACCCCATCACAGATGGAAAATCTTGCACTTGGTTTTGTTAAATTTCACACATTTGGTGATTGTTGAATTCTCTGGTCTATCCAGACCTCTTTCTAAGACCCTTGAGGGAGTCCACAGCTCCTCTTATTTCAGCATAGCTGGTATATGCCCACATTGGCATGTTCACTTCAGCTTTTTCATCATCATCCTAGAAGGATAACTAACAATCCTTATTTTGTGGGCACAAAACTTAGAAGGAAAGAAACGTATGATACATGCTCTGTGATTCGGCGTCCAGGCACAACTCCCACTATTTAATCATATGTCAGATTTTCTTCTGGCTACCTAGCACCAGAAAGCACTTCTGCCTCTCCTGATGTCCATGTTATCACTTCCCCTCCCCTCCTGAGCTGCACACTGACAGACAACTCATCAAGGGGAATGTAGATTTCTATGGCACATTTATTTTCACAAGAGGAAGCAGACTGAGGCAAAGAATGCTGCACTGCCTAAACTTTTGACAGCAGTACAGGAGACTACTCTGCTGAGCAAGATAACAGTTATGTCCCATATGTTCTAAAGAATTATGTTGTACAGACTTTGAGATCCCTCTCCTGTCTTCTCCCCATTCTCCTCCTGCTTTTAGAAATCAAACAGTGCTTTGCAGAGGTCAGAATGGTTTCTTAACTGTTCGTTCATTCTATTATTTCAATACAGAACAATAGCTTTTTAAAGTGAAATATATTTGCTATTATATATTATGATTGTCCCACAGACCATGAACACTGTAGCTGGATTTCACAGCTCCTTCATCATCTGTCAGGCCATTAACTTACTCATGGAAGATCTGACAGATACAAGGCAAGTGCATACACAAATACATTTGGAACTGACTATTTTTTACTTTGTCTAGAGTTATGTTTTGCTGTTAACCCCAAGAATAAAATACTTTGCTATACATCACATTCATAGAAAGATATTTTATAAATTTGACATGGAAGATCTGAGTTAGTCATGGAAGATATGAGAGATACAAGGCAAGTTCATACACAAATACATTTCAAACTGACTATTTTTTACTTTGTCTAGAGTAATGTTTTGGTGTTAACCCCGAGAATAAAATACTTTGCTATAAAACCACATTCATAGAAAGATATTTTATAAATATTCCAGCTTCTCAAAGAAAATGTTCCTGGTTTTGACTTTATTTCAATTGGTTTTGTCATATGCACCCTACTTTATTTCCCCAATTGTTTTGAAGAAAAAAAGGCTAAGTCCTGTCCTCCCATCTCTTCTGTCTAGCATGGCTGCATTTTGTATATTCAGAAAAGAGTAACTGAAAGAGAGTTCAGGTCCATTACTATATGCATAATAATAAATGGACAAATTATTGACATATTGACTAATAACTGCTAATGTGATGCTTATATTGACTAGTAGTTGCTTCCTGATGTGTCACATCACTAAGGTTTTCAGATTTTTTTTATTTTTTACTGCCATCCCAGTATCTCATTGCAAATGAAGCATATTTTCCAGCCTTTTCTCCAGCCTGATGGACCTGATGTACTAGTGGAAAGCTCTGTTACACAGAATAAAATACTAATATTTGTTCTCCCTTCAATCAAACCCAAACCCATTGAAACAAAAAACTGACCTAATACCATTAATTTATTTTATGGTGTCAAAAGTCAAACTTCTGAAGGACAGCAATGGGTGGGTCACAACTCAGACTGTATAAATTCCCAAGGGCTCAGCCAGTATACCCACATACAGCTGGAAAGCTGTATTGTCTTTGGTGCTGAAGCTTGAAGGTAAGCATTTCTCTAGGAAAATTTACCTTCTTATTGCATTATTTCTTGGTTCTGACTAAACTTAAAAAGAGAGAAGTTATTGTCTTGTGTTTGATATTTTTCAGGACAGAATATTTACATTATATCCTCTAGAAATCTCACCAGTGTATATGCATTCTACGCTACTTTATTATGTGTAAAATCTGAATGATTGTGGTTTGGGGGAGATTTTAAAAGTTATTTTTGGGTTTAAAATGTTATTTCATGCTCAAAACATGATTTTATTTCACAGCATCTTATCTTCCCATTCCGTATCTTTTAAGATTCATTTTGACAAACAAATAATAAGTTTCCTTGCTTGTCCTCTGTTTCAAAAAAGTGCTTTTAGAGCAGAACTGTGGTGTTCAGTGAATTTGCTAAGTTTATTTTAGTGTGAAATTTCTCTAGGAGTTGCATTCCTGAAAAACACAGTTGGTGAACACAACGTAAAAAGGTATGTGGGTGGACAGATGTACAATTTTTAAATAACTTATAAGTGGTAACATATATACAGAAAGGAAAATGAGAGAAAAATGTGTGTGTCTGTATGTGTATATCCAAGATGCCATCTGTAACTTTTGTAGACTTTAACACTACAAAGAGAAACTTGAGATTCCAGCATTTAACTCCTACATAAGGGGCTGGATTTTGAAAAACAGCTATTTAATTTCTCAGAAAGGTTATAATCTGAGAAAACATAGCATATTTATACAAAACAAGCTATATCTGAAAGCACAATACAATGAAACATGAATTTTGAGCATCACTCTTGCTCCAAGATTAGGTGACCTTTGACAAATTATATTTTCTGTCCATGCTTCTATTATTTAAACAAGAGTAAGCTACACGGCTTTGAAGATCTACTGACAGTAAGTACTGTGCAACAAATAGATACTTTAATGCACCTACTTATTTTTAGAAAATAAAAATAACTGGCCTCTGCTTTTACCTATATCTATCCAGTCCTAGACCAAATGGAAATATAATTTGTGCTTAAATTTCCAGCTTTCCAAGTATATGAAAGACATAATATTTTCTTGTTTTCATTAAGCTACTACAAAGTACTAAGGAATTTTAGCCTTTGGTGAATGAAAATAAGTACAGACAAATGTTGTTTGACTGCTTTGAAAAGGTAAACAGAAATCACACACATATTCCAGAGCTCTGAGGAACTGCTAAAAAAGGTAAAAGTATAGAAATACAGAAGGAAACAGATTTGTGAAAACAGAGTTTCTAACATGCATGAGAGATGACCATAGCAACAGACATTAACATAGAATGATTTCCAAATTACTTGTTTATATTTTATAGCCTGAAAATTCCTATTGAACTACATGTGCTGTGTGTGTATGCTATTCCCATCATTACATTGTTATTTACTTCTGCTCTTTGCTCCAGACAATACTGCTGCACAATGGCCTCCCTCGGTCCAGTGAGCACAGAAGTTTGCTGTGACATATTCAGGGAGCTGAGAAGCCAGAGTGTCCAGGAGAATGTCTGCTACTCCCCTCTGCTCATCATTTCAACCCTCTCCATGGTCTACATAGGTGCAAAAGATAACACCAAGGCTCAGATAGAAAAGGTGAGACTATGTTTAGTATTTTAATCCTCCTGCTGCTCAACAGAGCCACAGCCCTTAATGATATGATGATGTCCCTCAGAGGCTAAAAAAATGTGTATCCAGAGTTACCAAAACATGGATCTAGAGTTATCAAAAGCTGTGGCCACCTGAAATTCCCACAGTGTTAAACAAATGCATCAGCCCAAAATCTTGAGACTGGATTTAAATTTTATCACACTTTAGGAATAGAATTCTCACATTCTAGTGACCCTTTCTTTGGAAAGGGAAAGGAGACAAGATCTATAGGGAAAGAACCAAAACATATCCACAGTCTGCAAAGTGTGTCGTGTGTTTCCTACAGTTCCCACTATCTTCACAGAGAGTGGCTGGCTTGTTACCTATAAGACAGTTGGCATTGTTGGTAGCATGCACTGGAGCTGAATCCTAGATGCTCAATCGAAGAAAGGATCATCTAAGCAGGCAACAGTATGCATGGCTATTCAGAGACGGAACAGATAGATTGCTCTTTTTGAGTAATGCTCAGTTAGTCAATAGGTTTGCTTCAAACATTATGTGTTAATCTCAGCTGCATAACCTTTTTCTTGTCATACCAGTTATTTCAACTACTGCTGTTCTTAATTACAGGCTGTCCACTTTGATAAAATCCCAGGATTTGGAGAGAGTGTTGAATCTCAGGTACAGAAACAATTTAATCCCTTCTCTATGTCAGTTTCTCCTGGGAGCAAAATCTATCAGATAAGCAGTCTCATAGCAGTTCCAGTCCTACTCCAACGTGCAGCTAGTGTTCTTCATCCAGCTTTTGGGGGAACAATTAATTCATGAGAGTGAACAGAGAAGGTAGACAACAGAGAATTCAGAGCAAGCATAAAATCAAATCCATCAACATAATATTGGGCCAATAGGGGGAAATTTTTTTGATGATTATGCAAAGTAGCTAGTGGTTAAGCAGGTCTGGTTGGTAACTGATCTGCTGAAGCTAAATTAGTGTAGCAGTTAATTAAAAGCCCCCCCAGAATGGTACGATGAAATTACAGTAGAAAACTGTAATTTTAAGCACTGAATTATACATTGTATATTACAAAATTACTACATCAGCATAGGATGAACAGTTTATTAAGCAGAAGCATCTGAACTATTCTACTCCTTTCATATAGTATGTAATACCTATTCATCATTAAAACTAGGATAACATAATCTGTATTTTTGTTTGTATTCATGTCAATCAGTGTGGCACATCTGTGAGCATCCACAATTCACTTAAGGATGTCTTCACCCAAATCACCAAACCAAGTGACAATTATTCAGTCAGCATTGCCCGCAGACTTTATGCTGAAGAGAAATACCCAATTCTGCCGGTGAGTTGCTCTAAGATCTGATCTCAATGTCAAAACTGTAACTTTCTGTAATGCAAAAAGCACTGTCAGAAATCTAGGTTGTGCTAAATAAATTTTCTTCCATATGGAAAGATTCTCTCTATCCTACCCCCTGAAAATCTTGAGGAAAGATGTGACTAAAAGATGTTTGTGCAAAGTACAATAAAGATCCAATCAAGTCAAGGTATAACTAATAAAGGTAATTTTTGCTTGCAAGAGATAACTCCAACTCTTTTCTCAACTTGCAAAACAAACCTGGAAAAATTACTTCAGGTTCTCAAAGATATGCCAAGGTTTTCCGTTGAAAGGAACATTTAATTTGAAATTCAAGGAGAATACATTGCAAAAACAAATTAAAAGTGGGCAAAAAGAAAAAAAAAAACCATACTTAACTGAAATGAACATTGATTTTTAGATTGAACTCAGCTCTGGAAAATATTTTGTAAAAACATGGGCATTTAGTCTTTCTTGAAACAATGCATTTCTAATCTCAAAATGCTTATGAACTAGCTCATGGTTTAATGATTAGGCTTAAGAAGCAGGTTGCTTATATCTCTTAATTTCATTCTTGCCTTTTACATCTGCAAAATGCTTTAGCATTCTGATCTGAAAATTGCATACATTTTCTTTGCAGGAATACATTCAATGTGTGAAGGAACTGTATCAGGGAGGTTTGGATTCTATCAGCTTTCAAACAGCTGCAGAAAAATCCAGAGAGCTCATAAATTCCTGGGTTGAAAGTCAGACAAATGGTAAGAGGAAACCAAATATCAGCATAGGTATTTCCCTTCTGCCACCATGTTTGAACAATACATGAGAACATTTAAATCGGGTAATGAAAAACTAGCACCTCTACCTCTGCTCCTTCTCCTGGATAATAGATCAGTTCCCAGATACAGAACTATCATCTAACAATTTCTTTTTCCTCAGACACATCCCTGTTAGAGGACTCTCTATCTGTAGAGGTTTTGTGGATATGTAATATTTCCAGTCCTGATAAAAGGGACAGCACTAAAGTACGCTTTTTACACATTGACAAATTGTTTGACAGCAATGTTTCAACTTTTGTTTGAAGAAAAAAGTATTAAATGTTTGGGTGGGAGATCATCATGGGATACAAGGTTCCAGTGGTTCTTCCTGTTGACACAAAATATGCTAATTTTGTATCAAGTGAATCTCTGGATCTTATACCTCTCACTATAATTCTTTATAGGGAGAGAAACAATAACCATTGCCAAGAGCAGTAAGCAAATCAACCTTGGAACTACAAGACAGCTACAAAACCAATGTCCTTACCCTACACTCTCCTTCCCTCCATTTAATGTTGTAATTGCCAAGTAAGATGTGTTATACACAGATGTATTATACATGTTCTCTTTTCCTGTGCATTTTGAAAGGGTCGATCAAAAATATCCTTCAGCCAAGCTCTGTGAGTTCACAAACTGACATGGTCCTGGTCAGTGCCATCTACTTCAACGGATTGTGGGAGAAAGCATTTAAGGAAGAAGATACCCAGACAGTTCCTTTCAGAATTTCTGAGGTATGTGGGCATACATAACTTCAATGGTGTCATCTTCTAGAATTTATGAGGGGAGTAGAGAAGTTGCTGTACAATCTTCCTGAAAAAGAGCAATTATCAGCTTTAACCATAAGAAGGCATTTCTACACTCTAGGAATAATCTTTCTGGAAACTATATTATTTTCTTTGGTTTTGCAGCAAGAAAGCAAACCTGTGCAGATGATGTCTCAGATTGGCACATTTAAAGTGGCAGAGATCCCTTCTGAGAAATGCCGAGTCCTGGAGCTTCCATATGCCAGTGGGCGGCTGAGCCTGTGGGTGCTGCTGCCTGATGACATCTCTGGCCTGGAGCAGGTATGACCCTGGAAGCTGGGTTTCAGAAAACCATAAACACAGTGAAATTTTAGGTCCAAAGAAGCTCTTCACAATAAAGTTGTCTTAAAGCACATCCCTAGCACAGATCTGAATATTGGCAGCATGGGATTGTTGCATAGGGGTATGCGGCTATCTCAGTGGTCCTGCAAAAATTTGTGTGAGGATGGATTGCTAAGCAACTGCTTTAGTGGGTTAAATTTTTATCACTGCAGAATAGATTCTTCTCAGATAAGCAGCTTTACTCCAGCAGCTTGAGCTCCAAAGCTTTTATATCTCAATTTCTGCATACTGAGGAATTTACTGGAAAGGTCATCTTAGCTTGAGTATTTGTAATTATTGAATGGTTTGACAGCCTTCAACATGCTTCCTTCGTGCCTTCAAAAATTCAACTATCAAAAAATTGAATATGAGTACTGGAATGGTTAAAACCATTTCAGAAAGTAAAACATACATGACATATTGCTGTTGATATGAAGAGAATATAGCCATTAGCAGGAATGCAGTTTGAATAGGAAAAGTTATGCAATAAATCTGAGCTCATTGAAATGATTGCACACTAACTCAAATGCCCTAAATTATAAAAATAAAGAGTCATTTGACTATAGCTAAATTACTTCAGCAATAACTGAAGAAAACTCATTTATTACTGAAGAAATGTAGCTGTGTTCAAATGCCTCTAATGCTTACTAATACTTCTGGTATTAGTAAAACCATTAACACTTCCTTACTTGGAGATCTTAAATGTAGATAGAGCTTACAACTTATAAGCACAGAATGACTTTTGGAATATATTTCTGAAGAAAAGATAAATAGGCTTTGGGAAATTTGCTAAGTAGCCATCTAATCAAGACTATTAGTTGCCAGTGAGCCTATTAAAGAAATAGGAAGCAGAATAGAGAAGAGAATCATGGCTTACTTTCCTCTTCTAGACATATTAATTCATATAAACCCAGAAAATACACCATAACAAAAGCAGTCAGTTTAAGAGGAAGAAACGTCAAATGGTACTGCATTGCTACAGAAGAAATTGTGCACTCATCTCAGAGATCTAATTTGTTTTTTTCCTTGCAGCTTGAGACAGCAATTACCTTTGAAAATCTCAATGAATGGACCAGTTCCAATAAGATGGAAGAGAGGAAAATTAAAGTTTATCTCCCCCGCATGAAGATTGAGGAAACATACAACCTCACATCTGTCTTAAAATCCCTGGGTATCACCGACCTGTTCAGTTCATCAGCCAATCTGTCTGGCATCTCTTCAGAAGAGAGCCTGAAGGTGTCTGGAGCATTCCATGAGGCATTTGTGGAGATCTATGAAGCAGGCAGTAGGGTGGCAGGCTTATCAGGAGCTGGGGTAGATGACCCAAGTGTCTCTGAAGAGTTTAGGGCTGACCACCCTTTCCTCTTCGTGATCAAGCACAACCCAAGTGACAGTGTCTTGTTCTTTGGCAGATGCTTTTCCCCTTAAAGAGAGGAAAGCTGAAAGAGTTTCTGTCCCCCACAGCAAGACCCAAAGTGCTGCAGTATCAGGGGTAAAAACAAACACTAACGTTCTCTTTTATCCATATTTTCTAAAACCAGAATGATTTATTTAAAGAAAAAGAAAAAAAAAAGTTAAGGCAGAGAAATTTTGCCAGGAAAGCAGAGGCTGTTTGCCTTTCCTTTCTGCTGAATATTATTATTTACTCATAGATTAAGAGTTACCGGAATGAAAATCTGACCCAAAGAAAGCATGAGCATTAACAGAGATGTTCCTGGTGCAATTTAACAATAGTAGTGCTGAATCGTCACACTGAAAAAACACATCACCTTTTTTGGGAAAAAAATGCAGTCTTCTAACTGATCCAGGTTTCTCTACAGATAAATTTTGTGATGACTCCTCTGGAATAAGTCACTCAAATTTTCCTAAATTAAACTCTAAACCTTCCAACCATACCTACTCTGACAAAGCAATTGATTTTTATTTCTACCCCTGATACTGCAAGGCTCTTCCTCACTTTCTAAGGATGCATTATAGGAATCTTATAATTCATATATTCATATATTTCTTCTTAAGCCTGTTTGGGTCAATCATCATGACTAAGCATGGCAGATTGCTATTCAAATTTTCTCCCTGTATCCTATCCCTGTATACAATGGGTCTTGTGGGTGTACACTTCTGCTCCTTTAATCATAATAAAAACTTATTTAAGCAAATGCTTTTCATTTGGAGTATTTTAAATGCACATGGGACAGGGTAATCCTGGCTATGTGTACAAATCTGTGGCTTTGGGTGGATGGCAAGTTGAACATGAGCCAGCAGTGCCCTGGCAGCCAGGAGGGCCAACCTAGGGTGTCCTGGGGGGCATCAGGCACAGCATGGCCAGGCAGGCAAGGGAGGGGATTGTCCTGCTCTGCACCAGGGCAGCCTTACCTCGAGTGCTGGGGGCAGTTTTGGGTGCCACAGCATAAGAAGACATCAGTCTCTGAGAGTGTGTGTAGAGGAGGGGGACCGAAATGGTGAAAGATCTCAAGGGCAAGACTTACAAGGAGTGTCAGAGGTCACTTGGCTTGTTCATCTTGGAGAAGAGAACACTGAGGGATGACCTCATCTCAGCCTACAACTTCATCACTGGGGGCAGGGGAGGGGGAGGTGCTGTCCTCTGTCTGGTGACCAGCAAAGGCATAAGGAAATGGAATGAGGCTGTATCAGGACTGGACATTAGGAAGAGTTTCTTCATTCAGAGGGCTGGTCATTGGAACAGGCTTTCCCAGGAATGTGGTCATGGTGCCATGCCTGTTAGAGTTCAAAGAGCATCAGGACAATGCTCTTAGTCATACAGTTTATTTATAGATAGTTCAAGAAAAACAAGGAAGTGGAACCAAAGAACCCTAAGAAGCCCCTCCAACCTGAAAAAATCCAAGGTTCCGCAAATTTTCCGCCCGAAGTGGGTCAATGAATTCAAAAAAGGGAAGAAAAAATCCCCCAAAAACCCGGGCCAAAGCAAAAAAATGAAAAAAAATTTCCGCCAAGAAAGGAACGGGGGGAACCAAAACCCCCAATGCACACTACTCAAAATAGTCAGATGCCACAATTTCTGCACAAAACATGATTCATCCAGTTTCTCTGAAACAGCAGTTGATAAGCAATCTGAAAGGCAGCTGGATATGTGCAGAATCTACATGCCAGTGAGACTCAGCATTGCTTCAGAGAATAGAGGGGAATAGGAAATGGGAAGGAGTTTTACTAATTTTACTATGTGTTTACAAAGCTTTATGGCTTTTATTCATAAGCTAAGGAGAATAATCATGCTACGAGATGGGATGTCTATGGTGAATTATAGTTTTTCTCTGAAATTTTTTATTAATCTCTTTGACACTGAAGCAAGAAAGGAAACAGAACTGTGAGGAACCATCACAAAGAAGCACCAGAAGAGTAAAACAAAAATTTTGGGGGTGCAGTTACTGCAAGAAGGCTGTGCTCTTTCCTGATTCCAGTATGTACAGCATAGCATCAGTGCTGTGAGAACGGTGGTGGAATGTTTTTTCAGTTCCACCACACAATATTTACTTGTTCTACTTGTTTTGGCTTCCCCTGATCCATCCTCCAAAATAACACATATTTTGGCAGGACCTAGGGGACATGACTTGCTGGTAGCAAAGATGATCTTGCAAAAGAACAAAGATAACATGACAACACTTTCACTGGTATGTAAATAGTTCAAATATATTCCTTCACTTTCTTTTATCTTAGCTGATTACTGATCAATAGATAAAAATGGGGAAACATATTGCAAGAGACCTCACAATGTGTTTACCATGGTCCTAGAGTTTCTGTTGATCTGGTCATGGAAATAGGGCACCTAAATTCCTAAGGACACTAAAATTTCAGAAGCTTTCTTATAAAACTACAATATTTCTAGGCTGTTTTGGTTTCTATCAATAAAAGCCTACTTCTTCACAAACAGAAGACAAAGAAGTTCATCTGCTCCTGTGTGTAGACAGATATTTTCACTGCTACCTCCTGATTTCTGTTGACTTCAGCTGCCAGCACAGCAACAAGCAGTCATATTCTGATCCCCAGTAGCCACTTCCTTAAAAGGAAAAAAAAAAAAAACCCAAGTGTTCCCAGTCCTGTTTTCAGAAACTATTTTGGAATTTTGCAAATCATACACCCATTAAGGAATGGATGCTGGAGTCCTCAGATCCCAGATGGAGAAATATTTGTTTGAATGCTAAAAGTTTCAATAGCCTTCCACATCTGAGGTACTGTAGCTTCTGTAATAACAGGCACGCAAAGTACAGGCCCCTAGAGGAACATGCCTGGATCTAGCCCCAAGCTATGTGCCAGATATCAGACCTCCACCACTCAGCATGGAACAAATCCTCTCCTTTGTGCCAAGAAATGAGGATACAGCTTCATCTCACCGTGCTCAAAGAAACAAAATAGTTAACATCATGTCCTAGAGACTCCAGCTTTCTGTTGTGTCATGAAGTACAGGTGGATTATACTCTTGATTGCCCACAGAATATCTTTCAGCACACTATGGAAAAAGGCTCACACTCACAGCTTTAGGATCTGTCATTAGAGGCTGTTATTGCTCTACCACCACACCCCACGTATATTTGTAATTTCTAGCATGCATTCAAAGGATTAGTGAGTTGTAACGATACAAGACCACACTTGCTTGCTTTCTTGTGGTCTTACAGTGGGAAGGTAGTTCCTTAGAGATGACAGAATTTGACCCTGAGGCATTACTGTTTATTCCAGTACTAACTGTTCTAATACATAAAAATACAAGTAATATTGCTTGGTTGAACAAAGTCATTTAATTGCAAATATTAGAGTTAGAGAGTAACTTGTGTTGGAATGGGCAGCTGACAGTCCCCTGGTCTTAACTTCAGAAACACATCAGGGCCTTTCCCAGCCAAATGTTGTATATCTTTAATTTTGGAGAATCTACAGTGCTAGGAGTAATTTAATTTTAAACATAAATCCAAATATTACTAATGTAGAAATAGTGTAGACTATTTATCCAGCTTAGTTTTTGCTCACCAAATGAGAGTTGGCCACATGTGAAAATGAGCCCTACCAGTTCCTTCATTTTGATTCTCCCATGTCCAGTCCACAAAGATCTCATTGTTTTCCCTTTTAAACCTCTTGGAGCCAGTGCAGAACACCTCTGAAAATCCCAATGAGTGTTTAGTCAGCCATATGAACAGGAAATTTATAGGAAATTTCATCATTCCTAACAATGATTAGCAACAAAAGTGAGATAATAGATAGCTTCATGCTACACATTTTAAGTCCAGAAGCATAATTTATAGTTTATCTACATTTTATTATATGGCACTATAATTGGGATATTGTTTGCACCTGGCCTCTATTTCCGCATTGTTACAGTATTGAACTTCCCAAGAAAAAGAGTTTAATACCATATAGTCCAACTGTCTTGTGAAAGGAATAAACAGTCTCAAATTTCATTCTACTCCCAGAAAATAGAAAAAAAGCCAAACTAATTTTGTGTTCTTATTTCTTTAACTCTTTCATCACTTTCCTAATCTTTCTAAATGCTAGCAATAGCTTCCCACAGTAGGCAAACAATGAATTTCTATTAGTGGCACCTTCAGAGAACAGGAAAACGTTCCTAAAGGTGAGCAAATCCTTACAAGAAAGGCTGACTTAGTCACACAGGTAAAATTCCAGTTTAGTGGCTCTGATAAGATGGCAATGAGTGGGAGAATAGTGAGGTTCCAGATGTGTTTTTGTAAGGAATGGAATTACAGATCAAAGGGGGCAGAGGAGGAATTGTTGAACTTCACAGGGCTGTATGCAGGAGCAGTTCCTCTTTCCTCTTCCCTCTTTTCCCTTTCATTCTACCTCATTTCCCTTGGATGTGGTTCATTAACCATCTCTCCCCAAGATGCTGACTATCCCCACCCTTATCATGCCCTCTTTTTTCCTCCTTGCCCTTCAGCAATCTCTACTTCTATGGGCAGTGAGGGAAGAGGGCAGGGCTGGAATCGAGGCTCGATTCTAAGAAGAGAAATGTCAGGGAGAGGAAGAAAGTTGGAGGACAATTTACCCCTCCTACTGCCTGGAGGGGCCATCTGCTATGAAATTATGCTTTGTCAGCTACAGAGGCCACGCTGCATCTCAGCTGCTTCTGCATGAGGTGGGGAAAGAGCCCCTTCCTCCAGCCACAAACAGAGAGACATTGCTCTGCCTTCCTTACACAGCTTTTGGTAACTCCCCTTAGCCTGATGTTGCCTCTATTCCATTGAATTAAAATCGGTCTTGACCTATGTGTTTGTCTGTTTATGTTCCCAGATAAGGAATTAGCAACCACAGAAGCAAGAGATATTAAAAAAGACAAAGGATATTAAGGAAGATTAAGCCAAAGGCCTAGAAAAGTAAGGGTGATATACCAAGAGGAAAGAAAAGTCTAAAGCAGCTGAAAGGGACTACTGCACTAGTTTTAAACTACACAGAGAAAGTACTGCTTTTGGCTTTCAAATAGCTAAAACAGCCACCTATATCAGTACAAAAGATAATACAGGCATGAAGATCTCCTTA